CCCGCCCTGTCTAGATAGCTCTGCCACCATCCTTGGGCTCAATTTTCATAAAGTGGAACTCCTTCCCAAGTGTGACCACAAGGCAAAGGTAACTACTACCTAAGCCAGTGGTTCTCAACCTTCGGGCCCTTTAAATACAGTTCCTCATGTTGTGACCCAACCATAAAATTATTTTCGTTGCTACTTCATAACTGTCATGTTGCTACTGTTATGAATCGTAATGTAAATATCTGATATGCAGGATGGTCTTAGGCAACCCCTGTGAAAGGGTCGTTCGACCGCCAAAGGGGTAGAGACCCACAGGTTGAGAACCGCTGACCTAAGCAAAGGGCACCTGGAAAGGGAAGAGGTGATGCCTGAGTGAGGAGGGAGGGGGAGGCGGCAAGTCCGGGAGACACAGAACACACTGGGTCTTTAAGCCTCAAAGCCCACCCTGCCCCCAAGCAGTCTTGCCAAAGGATTCTCAGTTCCACTCAGAAGGCTGAGCCAGAGATGTCGCACACTCCACTCCCACCCCGCCCACGAAGACACATGCCTACACAGTCACACCCCATTCAGGTTCTAAAAAGATACACACACCAACACAGCTTTGAGGTTCCAACCATTTTATACTGAAATGCACATGGGCTGACCCAAAAAGGGTCGAACTGGGGGAGGAAGAAATGATGAAAGTGGGTGATCCCAGGGCTCGATGTTACCAACTCTTGGAGCATGTGCCAGTCCACCTGTCTGTCTGCCCACCCTGGCAGGACGGTCAGGCCTGGAGGTCTGGAGGAGCTCAGCTGAGCTGGGCAGAGGAAGCAGCCAGTCCTGGGCCAGGCAGTCCTCAGCTGAAGGGCTTCACCAGCTTCATGGCAGCATAGTTCTAGAGGAGAGAGGGGGCAGGGACACGTGATGACAGTTGCAGGAGGGACAGAGCAGGGAAAGGAGGCTCATCTACTCAACCACCTGCCTGCACTTCGCCCTCAGCACCCTTACCCCTCACTCAGCTCAACACCACCCTCCTGGTGCCCTTGCCAATCACACAAGCCCAGACCTTCCTGAAACTCTTCTGGAACCCTCCCAGTTGGGGGGCCACAGCTGCCTGAATTGCTCTGTCTTCTCCCCCATCAATCCAGGGCCCACTCTCATGTTCCAACCACAGCCAAGAGGATTCTGACCACCAGGGCCTGCCCTGGCCTCTTCGTCAGACCGGTGGCCTGAAGGCATGGCCATGACCCTCGCCCCCTCCCACATGGACCCAGGGCTCACTGGCCACCATGCTCCTGTCCAGAAAGTAGAGAGAGAGAGTTGGGGGGCTGGTGTACGGGGATGACCCGCGATGCAGGCCAGCACCTGGGATGGGTCACCCCTGATTAGACCCTGGCTGCTGTAGGACTGAAAGGAATCTCCCAACTCACTCCTCCCCCCAAACCATGAAAACACATACAACACAACACAGGGCTCCTAATTGGGACAGTATGTTCCCCAGCGCCGGCCCGGGAAAGCCAGCTCTGGAAACAAAGCCTTCCCGCCAGATCCGCTGCCTCCCCACGCTGGCCCTGCTCCCGCTGGCTGGGGGCAGCGGGAGGAACCAGACAGGCTGCCCTCCCTGTCCCCCTCCCAGGGGAGCTTCCAAGAGGGTGGGAGACTAGACCAACTGGAAGGAGCAGCCCCTCGACGTAGTCCCCTCCACCAGGCCCTCTGCCCTCCCCACAAGGCCAAAAAGCCAGGTGAAGGTCTTGGGCCACCAGGTGATGGAGCAACTTGGCTGGAGAGAAGCAAGATTTGCCCAGGTTGTGGCAAAGGCCTGTCCACAAAACCAGTCTGCGGCCTCAGGCCCAGACTGCCCCTCCAGCCCTGGACCTCTCACCTATGATTTGTCCCCCGATATGCCAGCCCTGGGAGAGGGATGGTGAAGTTGGTGTTTTAAAGAGGACAATTTTCAGAAGAACTCAAAGGAGGGTGATGGCCACTGCTAGGGCCCCCGGAGACAGGGGAGGGTTCTGACCAGGGCTAGTGGCAAAGTGCCCCTCTGCTCTGCCCACAGGGCCCGGGGTTAAGGCTGCTCTAGGGACAAGGAAGGAGCACGGGCTGGAAGTGACTGGAAATCTTCTCTCCTCCCCCCGCCAGGCAGGGGCAGGCACTAGGCACAGAAAGGGTGGTGGGGATGTCACTCTGGCCCTGCCCTGCCCTCCCCTTAGCTCTTCAGGAGGACACTGGCTTGATGTGAAGGCCCCCAAGGAAGGTGAAAGGGCTCCCCTAACCACTATGCTAGCACAGCAGGTCAGAGCTGACCCAGTCCAATCCGCCCATCCTTATGATGATGGGAGGACCCTGAATTTCTGGACTTAGACCCTCCTTTGTCACTTAGGCCCAGATGGTTCCCTCTGCTGGTCTCCACAGTCCATGTAAGAGACCGAAGGGATGGCTTTGTGGTTTTAACTACAAGATGGGCAAGCTGCTAATATAGTAAGTCCTCACTCAACATCGTCCACAGGTTCTGACACTTTAAGTGAAGCGACATATAACGAAACCAATTTTTACCATAAGCTAACTGATAGAAACAAGAGTTAAGTTCCTCCGACATCACATCAACGTTATAAAGAAACTAGAGGCCCAGTGCACGAAATGCGTGCACTGGTAGGGTCCCTAGGCCTGGCCGGCAATCAGGGCCGTTCGGGGCCTTCAGGCTGGCGGTTGGAGCCTTCCTTTGTTCCGCGCTGCCCCCTGGTGGTCAGCGCACATCATAGTGAGCAATCAAACTCCCAGTCTCCCGGTCGAACTCCCAAGGGGACACTATGCATATTAGCCTTTTATATATATAACTTTAAATTACATTCTCACACATGGAAAACCTACTGGTGCATGGGCTCTCACCAGTCACTGAGGGAGAGAGCTCTCCACCCACCTCCTCCTCCTGCAGCATTCACAAAGCAAAATGCACACAGGCAAGTTATTCCCAGAGCAGACTGCTTGCTGTGGGCGTACTGCACTTGACCAGACTGAGGCTTACAGTGTCCCTGCATTAGGAGCCATGAACAGACTGCCCTGCAGCTCTGAGCCAGTCCCTTCCCTTCTCTGGCTGTCTCCTTCTTTGCCATTCAAATCAGGGTGACATGGCCCTGGCCAGCATAGCTCAGTGGTTAGAGGGTCTAGGGTTCGATTACCAGTCAAGGGCACACATCTGGGTTGCAGGTTCAATACCCTGCAACCAATTGATGTTTGTCTCTCATATAGATGGCTCTCTCTTTCTCTTTCTCTCCCTCTCCCTCTCTCTCCCTCCCTCCCTTCCGCTCTCTCTAAAAAGCAATGGAAAAAATATCTTCAAATGAGGATTAAAAAACAACAACAACATATCAGGGCGATATGGAGTTGATTATGCCATCCTATTTTCATATCAGTTTGAAATTTTCATTTATAAAAATTTAAAATTGTTTAAAGAATATTAAAAGTCAGGCATCAGCCTGGTAACACTGTGGTCCCTTCAAAGTTTCAAGTTCCAGAGACATTGGGGGGTCAGGGTAGGGGGCTGGAGCATCTTCAGGGTCCCCCTGATGAGCTGTGAGGACCAGGGAAGCCAAGACCAAGAATACAGCCCCTGATCCTCCTCTTTTGGGCGCAGCCCCATGGAGCTGGGGGGCAACAGCTGGCTTCTCACCAGGTGAAAGGGACCCCCATGTGCACTGTACCACGTAAGAGGGCCACCTCCTGTCTATCCACACACATCTTCCCCCAGGCCTACCCTCTGCAGGAGGCAGGACACTGTGTCACTGTGCTCAGGTGGACAAGAGACCCTCTCCTGGCCCCAGGTCCCTTCCTCTGGACCTCAGCAGGTGCCATCCTCGCAAACAGAGGGACCTCCTCCTCTGTTCTGCCATCTACACCATCTCTTCCTGACCCAGTCCCACACCCTCCTCAGGAAGGTCCCCCACTCCCCCTACCCAGGGGCTCACCTACCCTTTGATTACATAGTACAGGGGCTTGCTGAAAACAGCTATGTCTCCCCATCGACAGCAAGAACTGTTTCCCCTTTTGGACTAAGAGCTCCCTAAGGGTAGGACTTTGTCTACCAGACTGGGAACTCCCAGAGTAGGGGTCATGTCTCCCTCCTCAGACCGTGGGCTCTGCAAGGACAGAGGCTGTGTCTCTCCATCAGACTGGGGCTCTTTGAGGACAAGGACCGACGCTCCCTGAGACCAGGCTCTGCTGGAGGTCAAGAGCTGTGCCCCCCCCCCCATCAGACCAGGAGCTCCTCCAAGACAGGGCCTGTGCCTCCCCTGCCCGGCCTGCTCACCGGGAAGGCGTAGACGAAGATGCCCAAGAACAGCAGGAGGATGAAGAGAATGATGAAGAGGATGATGGTACACCGGAACCGCCGCCACAGGATGAACTTCATCGTCTTGTACGGGGAGGTGAACCAGAGGAAGGAGGTGTCAGGGCGCCTGGAAGTGAGATCCCAGAGGTCAGCAGGCAGACCTACCATGGCTGCTTTCTCCAAGTCCTGCTCCCAAACCACCCTGACCCTCCACAGTCAGCCCCCAGGCCCCGCCCAGCCTCGAGACCCAGTCCCTTGTCCTCCAAGCCTTTGCTATAGTGTGAGCCCCACCCAAGCTGCCCTCCTCTTCATGGTGCCACCAAACCCTATACACCCTCAGGGGCCCCTTCTCTGCCACTCTGTCCAGGACACCTTCCCTGCCACCCTCTTTCCTTCCTGACCCAGGACTATAAAGACTAGAGATTTGGGAGCTGGGCAGAACCTCAAGGGACTGTCACATTAAGTGAGCTATGGCCCAATGAGCCCCAGATAAGCCAAGCCACCTGCCTAGATACACATGGCTGGTCCATGGGAAGTGAGCCCAGTTTCTCTCAGAACCAAGAACCTCAAGACCTGCCCCAAGGTCAGCCTCACAACTCAATGAGCTTGCAGGATTCTGTGTGGCAATAATGGCCTTTTAACTACATGCCACTGGATCTCCTGGGCCTCTCTCATCTTTCTAGCCAGATCCCAGCCATCCCAGGATGGCTCTCCCCACTCTGCCAGCGCCGTGGCACTTGGAGCAGCCTGGTGATAAAGTGGGCTGTCTCTGCTAAGTCTGACTTGAGCCACACAGGCCACAGGGGAGGACCTAGCAAACGCAACCCTGACACCACCTCCCCCAACTGTAGTCTTTCAGGCCCCAGTAACTGCCTTCAAGGCGTCTACATCCACTTAGGGGCCTATGTGGTAGGGGAGATAAGGACCGGTCCCCCATTTCACAGAAGGGAAAATGACGGCTGAAAGACTGTTTGAAAGCCACACTGACACCAGGAGAGCCATGGAAGACAGCTTGGTCAAGGGAAAAACCCTGATCAGGCTCCAGAGCCAATCAGATCAAGTGGGAGAATTCCAGCCTCACCACTTTCCTTACTCAACTTTGCTAAGACTGTTTCCTCACCTGGAAAATGAGATAACAACCCAGCAGAGAAGGTCCCACAGCACAGCATGTACATGCCATATGACAGCTTGCTCAGCACTCAGCCAACAGCTACCCAACAGTGCCCGCTTCCGGAACTAGCTGAGGAGCCCAGTGTTCCTGGAATGGCGTCTGTCACCTGCCCCCTAACACTGTGTGGCCCTCTCTGGGCCATGTGGGCATTGTGATCTTCTTAAATGTTTCATGACTTCCAATAGATGCCTCCTAGACCGTGGCTACACCTCCCAGCTCCCCTGGGCATGGGGATCAGGGGCTTGGCACTGACTTTGGGTCCTCGAGTTTGGGGTTCATGTTGGGCTCATCCCGGCCCTGGCCAGCAGGTCGCTCCTCATGTTCACTCTCTGCTACGATCTCCAAGGTCATCTCCAGTTTGCCCTGTGGAGACAGAGGGACAGAGGCTCTGCCCAATGGCCGGGAGAGGAGCCATTGATGGAGGGGCCTGTGATGTAGGGAAGACAAGGACTGGACCCCAGGACAATAGTAAGAGCCACTTTATTTAATTTTTTTAGTGCTATTGGGTTGATTTGATCACAACAGCAGTAACTGCTCCTCGTAGAGCATTTAAAAACTACAGACATGCACAGGCACACCTTGTTTTATTGTGCTTTGCTTACTGCGCTTTGCAGATATTGCATTTTTTACAAATTGAAGGTTAGACCCTCCACCAGCAAAAAAGATTCCGACTCGCTGAGGGCCCAAATGATGTTTAGTATTTTTTAGCAATCAGGTATTGTTAAAATAAGGTAGGTACATTGTTTTTATAGACATAATGCTATGGCACAGTTAACAGACTACAAGATAGTGTACACATAGCTTCCATATGCACTGGGAAACCAAAAGATCCGTGTGACTGGTTTTATTGTGGTTATTTGGAACCAAACCCACAATATCTCCGAGGTCTGCCTGTGCAGACGAAGGAGAACATCAGCGGCGCCTCCACTGTGTGGAGACACGCCCCGTTAACATTGTTACGCAGAGCCGGTGTTCTCGGCAAGTATATGAACTACCACACTGTGTACGCATACTTCCACGGCTTGCTTCTTTCACTGAGAAATACATCCTATTTTACTGTATAATTATATATTCTTTCAAGTTTGCTTCGTAATGGCTGTAAGACATTCTATGGGATGGTTGGCCATAATTTGTTTCGTAAACTACTTATTTTGGTTCATTTAGGTTGTTTCCGACTGTGCAGTACTATAAATAATGCTGCAGCAAATACCCCAGAACCTATTTTTTTCCTTTTAGCGGGTGATTTCTTTTGGAGAGATTTTTAGAAGTGGGATGACAGAGGACAAAAGCATAAGTATTGTTAAATCTCTTGTTGTATGTACCGAATTGCTTCCACACATGGTAGAACTGTGAGCACCCCAGCGGAAGTAAATGAGGAGCGTGTCTGCATCTTCACCAGAAGTGAGCATTTCTGGTTTTAAATCCTAATTTAATAGGCAAAAAGCTTTCACACTTTAAAATATGCCTTTATTTAATTACTATGGAGAGTCAACCTTTGCAAATGTTTAATGCCCATCTGTGCTTCTTTTGTGCATTACCTATGCATGCCCTTTGCTCATTTTTTTTGAGGTGTTCATTATTTCTTGTTAATTGTTATGATTCATTATACAACAAGGGTATTTTATTTCAAGGGCCACGTTAGGGGCTGGCTGACGGCCTATATTTCTAAATAAAGTGTCAGGGATTCACTTCCTCTGCAGAGGAAGGACAGCTCACAGTCCCCTGTCACACCCCTGAGCAGACCTCTGGGCAAGAACAGTAGGACAAGGAAGGTCCCTTGTGGGGTCCTGCTCGAGTGAGCGAGGCAGGACCCCTGTCCACTACAGGAGCCCAGGCCAGAGGGGTCCCAGCACACAGATCACTGTGAAGACCCAGGAGCCGGAGCACAAACAGGGTCAGAGGGAGATAAGCGCATCTTTAGATGTAAATGGGCTGCCCTGGTATGTGAGCCTCAAGGAGAGGAAGGCTGGGAACTAGAAAGGGAAGACGGCTGGCGCCTTGGAAACCAGGGAGAGGGAGGACAAGAGAGGGGGACAGGCGCACATACGCTCTGGTGCCTCCACTGGCTGGCGGGGAGCAGACTTACCGCTAAGATCTTCTTCTCACCCTCCTCTGCCACACAGGGCCACCAGCCCTTCACTGTTTTCTGTTCAAAAAGGGACACGAACCACTCCGGGTGGAAAGTGTCATCCAGCAGGTCCAGGGAGCACTTCTCCGCCGTCTTGGCGGGCTTGGGCATGCGGTTGAGATCCAGCTGCAAGGAGCCTGTGGCAAAGAGGGGTTCCTGGTCGGAGGGTTTCTGGGTCACTGGCAGCGAGTCCCACCCAGGGGCGGGGCAGGTTCCACAAAAACTCGCAGTTACCTCCTCAACCTCCATCCATGGGCTTAGCCACGGGTCAGACCCCTCAAACTCCAGCTCCCCATCCATGCCCTCTTACTCCATCCATACAGCTTCCCATCCATCTCTTACTCCATCCATACAGCTTCCCATCCATCTACTCACGTACCCATATGCCCACTAACCTACCTATTGATTTGCCTTAAGAGAGCTCAACTATTCATCTTCCTATGCACGAATCCATTCATTGGCTACATCTATCATCCATCCATTTTAAATTGTTTTTATCATAGAAAAATCTATTTGACATAAAATTTGTCACTTTAATTCAAAATTGACCACCCCTAAAAGAAATAGCACACCCATTAGCAGCCATTCCCCATTCCCCGCCTCCTTCCAAGCCTAACAATGTTGAGCCATATAGAATTTCCTATTGTGGACATTTCTTATCAATGGAATCATAAAATATGTGTCACTTAGCATGCTTTCAAGGTCCACCCATGCTGTAGCATGCATCAGTATTTCATTCTTTCTATGGCTGAATAATATACAATTGTATGGGTAGACCGCACTTTCCTGGTTAACTTTTATAGCTGTGATGGGACTGTTACAGTCCAGCCTGTTGGCCCCATACAAGGCCGTCCTCCTCCCCCCAAATCTCACTCCTGTGAGAACACGGTCTCTACCATATCCTTCGGCCCTGTGCTCCCTGCTTCCCAGTTCAGGGTTCAGCACACTTCTGCCCCCAAGAATCCTGTCTGGGGCCTGGGGGAATGGAGACATGTTCACTCATTCGGTCATCACTCAGGCACAAGGGTGAAGAGTGTCTTGAGCCCCTCGCTGGCTGGGCTCAGTCTGCATCTAGACTGAGGGGTGGGGCGGGGGAGGGGTGGAAGGCATCCTGTCAAGCCTGAGGCCAGCCAGCCAGCGATGGCCAGCATATGCCTGCACTGCCTTAGCCTGTGTTTCCCTCTCTTCCTCGCCTATCTGAGTCCTACCATCCAACGTGGTGCAGTGTCAATGCCACCTCTGCTGCTAGACCACCCTGCTGACCACGCTGGCACTACTCTGCATCAAGGATCTCACTCAGCACCAGGGACCAGGGACTCTGAGTTCCCTGCGGGCAGAAAGTAGGACTGCACCTCCTGCCAGCCAGCCAAGAATGGCACACACATACACATGGGGGGTGGGGGGGCGCCTCTGGAGTCACCCCAATGTACAGAACAGTGCTGATGAGAATCAGTGCTCACCCAGAAAGTCGTCAAAGGAGAACTTGTCATTGTCCCAGATCTGGAATACCACTCGCGCTGGGATTTTGCTCTCAGTCTTGTCCAGCCTCCAGAAAGCATCCTGGCCAGAGGAGGAGCAGAGAAGGAAGTGAAAAGAGAGATTAGAGAGAGGCTGGTCCCTTCCAGCCTGGACAGCTGCCTGGAGGAGGCAGTGTGGTGGGGCATCCCTTAGGGACTTGCCAGAGCCAGGTTCTGGTGGGAAAACTCATGAGACCCCAAAGAGCAGGGTTCCGGTTCAGGAGGGTACCGTGCAGGCTCCCTTCACACAGGTGGCTCCTTGGATCCTCCCAATTCGCTGATTCGATGTTCTCACTCCCGTTTTACAGTTGATGAAACAGAAGCTTGGAGTTGCCCACGATCTGACAGCTAATAATAATAATAATAATAATAATAATAATATGGCACCTCTTAGGCGCCAGCCCTTTACCACTATGAACTCATCTCTCTTTCCAATAACCTATAAGGGAGACGCCTCGGAAAGCAGAGCAGGTACCATGTGAGTCACACTCCTGGGAAGTGGCAACCAGGGTCCACACCAGGCAGTCAGGTTTCAGAGTCCAGTTCGCACCTCGAAATCCTGCTCTGCCCTTGTGATCTTGGGGACAGAGTGAGCTGGCTGGGAACTTGAGGCACCCCACCCCTGACACACTGCTATAAGGAGCTGACACTGGGGGGGACAGTGACCCCAGCTCCTTCCCCGCCATGCCTACCCACCCACCTTCACCCCCTGAGAGCCTGCTCTGGGGCAAACCAAAGCCTCTGGTGCTGGCAAGTTCCCCGCCCTCCTGCGCTCCCCATCCCAGCTCCCTCGCACCAGGCAGCCTGAGTCTGTCATCTTGGGTTTCTTCCCAAGAGGCCTCACCGAGCCCCTGAAGGATGGGGACTGGGCACGCCGAGGCCTGGGTTTACCTTGGGTCCAGACTCACTCCACCCAAAGCACTGCCACTGGGGCTTTCCTGCTCATGCCTGTCCTCTGTCCTCTCACTGTCGCCTCTCCCTAACAGTGGCAAGGACAGGAAACATTCCGACCAGCCTGCAGGTCATAGCAGGGGCCTAGACTGAGTCTCGGAGAGACAGACTCCATAGGGAGTTGGGGAACACGGCTGACCACACGTGGTTTGTCTGGCCCTGGGGGCCTCGTACACACAGCTTCGCTGCCCAGTCAGGTCCGTGCCCGCTGTGTGGCCACCCTGAGCCATGCAAACCCACAGAGCCCCTAAACCGGGACCATGACCTGAGCAATGGTCACCTCGCAAAGCACCCGGCCTCTGTCTGGACCACGGCCTGACTTGGTGAAGGGGCTCAGGTCCCCAGCTGGGCCCTGGCCCCCCAGCCCCTGTCTGGTGCCTCCCCCTTTTCCGGGCCCCGGCCCTCCTGCAGGTGCCTGCCTCCTCTGGCGGGGCTTTTATGGCCAGCACCGCAGGCCCGCCTGCACAGGCCGCCAGCAGCCTCCATTCCTCCGGCCGGCCTGGTTTATGGGCTCAGTAATGAGCCAGAGGTTCAAACAGCCCCTGGTGGGAGCAGCTGGGCTGGGGCTCCAGCCTGGGGAATGGCCCCCCAGGTCCCAGGCGCTCATTACGCTCCCGGTCTGGGCCCTTTTACTAGCTGTTTATTTGCAGGGTGGGTGCCTGACGCGCAGGCAGGCCCCGGTGGGTGTGCTGGGCTCCAGGTGGGGAGGCGGCCAGGGCGACCAGCGGTGGTTCAAAGCAGCCGGATGAAAGGAGACCTTGTACTTTACGACAGTCTCGTCTGGTTAATGGGGTCCCTGGAGGGCCTGCCTGCCAGAGGCCCTGAACCCCTCGGCAGAGGGCTGGCTCTGCGGCATGACCGAGGAGCCCAGAGGCTGCTCAGTGCCCCCACACAAACCCACCCCGAGACTCGGGCCTGTAGCCCAGACCGGCTCCTTGGTGCCCCACTGTGTGCACGCTGCACTTGCCTCCCAGGGCCCTTTTCCCTCAGAAGGACCTGGGTCAAGCCAGTTCTCCCTCACGCCCCTGGTGACCTCAGAATCCCGTGGGCTCTGTTTCTCAGCCTCCTCCAGCCACCCTCTCCGGGAGCCCGCACCACAGGGAATGCCCGTTCCCCAGCCTTCCCCACTCCTGGTGCCTCTTCTGGACTCCCCACTCCCCTTCCTCCTCTCCACCCCGCAGTCCCCATGGGCCCCTCATTCTCTCAGGGCTGGCCCAGGCTCTGCCACCAGGAGCCCGCCCAACTCTCTCCTCTTCCTTTCGGTGCCTGTAATTCAGGGATGAAACCCCATCATGGCCAGAATGGACCCATCTCAAATTCTCACCGAGCAACCCAGCTGGGCCCTCAGAACTTCCAGGTAACCTTCTCCATACCAGCAAGGAGCCTGTTCTCTCTCCCTCTCCCACTCTCTTTCTCCCTCCCTCTCTCCCTCTTCCTCTCCCTCACTCAGGATAATAGCTACTTCCAGCCTTTTCCATTTGTCTCACATCACCTGCCACAGTAGCAGGAGATTCTCTCTCCTCCTACTTTGTAGAAAATGCAGAAGCCTCTGCGTCCTGCACCTTCTTGCTGACATCCCCACCTGTCGACAAAGGGGTTGTCCCGCCTCTCATTTGAGCAGGCCTATAGTGTCCCAGCCTCAGTTTCCCCCCACGCCTACCCCCTTTTAGGGCTTGGTGAGCACCAGAGCTGGTGGGCAGGATGCCTCGGCCCTCCCTTCCCATTCCCAGCCCCCACTCCGTCTGTCCACAGCAAACTGTTTGCTTGGTTTAGAGCCTTCCCACCAAAGGCAGCATTTGCTTTGTTATGGAAACATCTCGTGATAGACAAGCACACTGAGCAAAGGCTGACAAGATCAAAGCTACACATAGGCTAGACCTTCCTGGCCTGCTCAGAACCAGGGCTGTAGCTAAATTCTATTTCCTGACAGGCACTATGCAGCAATCTCTGGGTGAAAGAATTCATTTAACCTTGTTTAACCCGTATTTTCTTCTGTTTGACGGCTTCAGAGTGCTCCACAGCTCATTCTGGTTTCTCTAGAATGCATACAATCCTGTGTGTCAAGTCAGGACAGGGTCATGCGGAAGGGATGTAATGAAGAGAATTAGGAAGACAAGTCGGCTGAGGTACATTATTATTTCCCTTCTTTAAGCCACTCAACCACTCAGGAAAGAAAGGGGAGTCAGAGAACCTTTGCAGCTTGAACCCGCGAGCTACCTCTGGAAGGAAATCGGACCAGCAGAACCGAAATACCAGAGAGGTATTTACTATGTCAAATAGGAGAGAACCTTAATTCTAGGTGCTCTCCACCTCCAGTCAGCCTGGCTGCGAGCCCTCACTGCCCACAGCACCTCCTCATTGTGATCTGGGTCTGCTTGCTAAGGGCAGGTGTAGAGCCACCAGGAAGGAGTGAGGGGACAACTCTTCACTTCTATTTCAAGAGGAAAGCGCAGATGAGAGCTCCCCTGGAAGATGCTGAGACACAAAGAGCAGAGGTCCTGAACCCACTCCTCCCTCTGGCTGATGCTCACAGCTCTCCCGGGTGCCTTCAGTCTGGGGTGAGAGAAGGGAGGTGGAGAGAAAAGAACAAAAACTCTGAGGCCTGGAAGGGCAGAGTCACTCCCTAGTGACTGTCCAGTTTGGACAATAACCACAGGCACCAGATGGGGAAATGTAGGACGCTAGGTAGCAGGAGGAACCTAGCTAAGCAACACCCAATCCTATGGACGACCCGATCCATCAGCCAGGTAGGCACGCCCTTGGGAAGCTCTACAGCAAGCATGTCAAACTTGCAGCCAGAGAGTTCAACATGCTTGCACAAGGTCTGCCCCACTTCCCCAATCATGGCCATACTGGTTTCCCACCCGGACCCCCATGACCCTTCCTCTTGGTTTATCTAGGATTCGGAGAAAGGCAGTGGTTTTAGGATTTGGACTTAGCTACATATGATGGTTGTGGCACCAGTGTGGGGTGGTTGTGGGATGGCGGCAATGCCAGCAATGGAAATGATGGTGAGAGTGGAAGAAGTAGTGGGATGGTGAAGATGGTGGTGGTGGCTTTGGCAGTAATGGAGCAGTGGGAGAAGCTGTGGCAATGTCATGAGTGATGGGGACAGTGGTAGTGGTGATGTTGGCAGTGAGGGGACAATGGAGAATGTGACATTAGCAGTGAGGGGACAATGGTGTGGTGACGCTGGCAGTGAGGGGACAATGGTGTGGTGACGTTGGGAGTAAGGGGACAATGGAGAATGTGACACTGGAAGTGAGGGGACAATGGTGACGGTTATTCTGCAATGATGGCAGTGCTTGTTCCAGTGGAGAGAGGGCGCACTGGGGCGGAGGGGGTATGACTATGGCATGCCAGTGCTGGTAGTGCGATCACCCTGACATTAGAAAGCCCTGGAGCTAGCACCTTGGGGGACAGGAACAACACTCACCTTCTTGGTGACGGTGCAGACTTGCTCAGCTGGCAGGTAGTCGAAGGGGAACACGAACCTCCAGTTAAAGCTGCCTTCGCCTCCCAGGGACCGATAATGCACGTCTGTCTTCTGCTTGTGTTCCTCAAAGCCAACCATCCAACTGGACACAAACATTTTAGAGAACAGTTCTAATTAAGGTTTCCACCACAATATGCATCCTCACCTTAGGCAAATGAGGCATTAAGAAGGTACATGAACTTGGTAAACGATAAAGGAGAAATCATTCTCAAGAAATCTCCATGATGTACCAACGATGTCACAAACTTTTAAGCTTTCTCTCGGCAGACATCGTCAACCCCAATATTAATGTGGAAGAAGAAATCTAGTCGGGAAACAACTCCCCAAAGGCAGAGGTCACACCCTTAAACCCTCCTTCCTTTCTTTCCCTCCCCGTCTCTACCCAAGAGCCCCCTTCCCAACGGGGCAGCACCATGGGGCTGGGATGGGTGGGCAGGAGGAGGACTCCCTACCCTTTCACATAAATGTCGCTCATCTTTTCCCCCGTGAGGCTGAGGTCATCCAGGATCACATCCTTGGTGTTCCAGACAATGCAACGCAGGAAGAACCTGTGGGGAAGAAGAATTATTCACATCACATGGATCTCCCACCAGTGGGGGAGAGGTCTTTGACTGAGAAGCCAAGAAGCCACCTCGCCCAAGAAGACTTGGATGCTTGCCTGGCTGGACAAGACTGGTATCCTGTGGTCCGGGTGGTCCAAAGCCCAGCCCAAGAACAACCTCCTTGTCCCACCCAAGTTGGTGAGGACCATCCCACCACCCTGCTCAGCTCTAAGCCTGTGGCTGGAGCAAGTCACCTTTTGGCTCTCCGTGGGGTGATGTTGAAGGGAGGTCCAGGCCGCCCCAGGGCCTTCGGAAACAGGTCAATCCACATCTGCAGCTTCCCCTGAGGAGACATGACCCTGTTCTCTCACATCCTTTTCATTCAACCAACATCTACGACCATCTGCTCTTGGGGCACATGACAGAGAAAATCCAGGCCCGGCCATGGAGAGGCTCACCACCCCATAGGGGAGGTGCCCCAAGTGGGACCACAGGGCCAACTGCAAAGGTGAGCCCATGGCCCACAGGCTGATGACTTGGGTCTGTGCCTGGGGGTCAAGGGTCAGGGAAGGCTTCTCAGAGATGGTGCTATCTGAGCTGAGACTCAGTGTGCCAGATGGAAAAGGGGAAGAGGACATTTCAGGCCAAGGAGATGGCATGCTCTAAGTCAGTGACGGCGAACCTATGACAGGCGAACTCATTTTTTTGGTTGATTTTTCTTTGTTAAATGGCATTTAAATATATAAAATAAATATCAAAAATATAAGTCTTTGTTTTACTATGGTTGCAAATATCAAAAAATTTCTATATGTGACACGGCACCAGAGTTAAGTTAGGGTTTTTCAAAATGCTGACACGCCGAGCTCAAAAGGTTCGCCATCACTGCCCTAGGGCCTGCAGGTAGCCAGAGGAGGCCAGGCCCAACAGGTGCCCTGGAAGGCCAACAGTGGTGACACTCAGACTGAGGAGGAACACCCTTAAGAAGGGGCTGACCAAATCCTGGGGTCCCCGGTGGTGCCTCTGGGATGTCCATGTTGTCCTTGGGGTGGTGCTAGCTTAAGGTTGGGGACTCTGGGGCCTGATGGTTGACATCCTACCTGCTCGATGTCTGGCTGGAGGGGGCTGTAGAGGGGCCGAGACTCCACATGCTCAGGGACTAGGCCTTGCTGCTGGAGGACGTGCAAAGCCAGACGCTCCTCCACTGGGCCCAGGTGTGGGTTCGGGACCCTGCCAGCCTCTGCCGCAGAGAGAAGACAGAAACGTTGCTGGGGCTGAGTGAGCAAGAGATAGAGCAACCTGTAGTCCTAGGGATGCCCCTAACCCCAACAGCCTCACCCAAGCCCAGACATACTTCTGGTCCTCACGTCTCACCCTCTGTAGGGGAAACCTCACTGTCACTGGCTCCAGGCTTAAACTCCAGATTCCCCATTGCCATCATTCCTACCAAGCCTCTTCTATAAAGCGCTTCGTCCTCTTTCCCACCCATTCAAATCCTGCCTGCCCACCAAAACCCACCCCTTCCAAGAAGCCCTCCCTCCCTGACTACTCTGAACTCTGAGCCTCAGTAACCTCTATTCCCAGACTGGGCATCTACATGCTCTTAGTGCTATTCTCTGCTTCATGCAAGCTGCTCTATTAGTAGCAGTAGCTAAAATAATAGCAATAACAGCAAACACTTATAAAGCAGGAACCAGGCACTGTTCTTCACAGATATAACAGGCTGAGTCCTCATAATAACCCTAGAAGGTAAGTGCTACTATTATCCCCATTGTACAGATGACAGAAATGAAGCACAGAGCAGTCGCCCAGCTGGTCAGCAGGGTGGCTGAGACCACACACTCACTTAGGGGAAGGTGCATGACTGGACAAACACTCCCCTCCCCCTTGTGCTTTCCAGGGGGAGCTCCGTTCTACCCAGGACTGGCGCTGGACCAAGTGAGGACTCAGGGATGGTTCTGACCCTGACAAGCCTGGCCAACCAGCCAGCAACTTGAACTTGGAGCTCCCATGAGACACCTTGACTGGAGGCTGGAGATTTTACATATCTACACACACATACACACACAGGTATGTATACTCAGGTGTGCCCATGTTCAGTCTCGTGCGCACACACACACACACACACACACAAACACATACACACATGTTCATTCATCAAACCCCTTTAATAGGTGCCACTAGGGAAGCAGTAGGGCATCACAGAAGGACACCGGTCCAGGAACCCGGCTCTGCTCCTAACTGGCTGGGTGATTTTGGCAGGTCATTAACCACTCGAGGCCTCAACAGCCTTATCTGCAAAAACAAGCTAATGCGAGTTCTCACCAACTCTAGCTTTCTGGCCTTCCTTTCCTACCAATGTATGACCATGAGTCCTGGCCCCTGGGCTAACGCTGCTCAAAGACCAGCAGAAGAAAATGAGACCACCCCTAAAACAGATGCACGTTCTAAGAAAAAGAGAATGGGGCAGGAGCAGGGCCTGATGGAGAAGGCCTGGCTCAGCCATGACCTGGGAGTCAGCAAAACAGAACTAGAAGGAGGGGATTTGGGTGGGGTAGTCAACGCCACTGCTCCCCTTTTCTAACCTCAGCACCAGCTCTGACATCAGACATCTCTGAAACCAGCAGGAGCGAGGGGCCAGCTGGGCCTATACATACCACCAGGGAGTCTGAGCTGCTCCAGGTGGGCAACGCAGGCCTATGGGCACCTCGACATGCAGGAAGCATGTGGTGGGATTCTCAGGCATGAGCATTAGGCATTCCCAGGGGCAAGGTGGGGACTGCCGGACTTCCTGCCTGCCCTGTGGATGCTTTAGGTGCAGGATCTGTGAGTGGGGGCTCAGAATGGACCATCAGGGACAAGTGGGCTAGTGCGACTCAGGTAGAAAACTGTTTCTCAGTGCGCTGTACCCCAAGCTCAGATCAAAGTCTGACTCCCCAAAGCCAGAAGCAGACTGATCCTAACCATGACCCTGACCACGGCTTCAGACTCACCCCCGCTCTTGCCTTCAGAAGGGCCTCACCCTGGCATTGGACTGAGCTCTGACCTTGGCTCCACCTTGACCTCTTATTTTTACAGCAGGGTCACAGGTAAGTACTGATCCCCAGAGCAACAACCCCCTCTGTGCCGCCCTGGAAGATCCCAGACCACACCCTGCTGGTGTGGGTTGCATCCATTTGGCGCCTTTATGACAGGAGGGGGCCAACAAGAGAGAAGGAAACAGAGGAAGAGTCCATAGGTTTCCTGGCCAGCGGGCAGCTCACCTATTTCTTCAATGGTGTATTCTTTATCCTGAAACATCACGCGGTCTGCCTGGTACACGGGGGCTTTGACTCTGTGCTGCTGGCAGAACAGGTGGAGGAGCTGGGAGGGGCGGAGCTGGTCCCTCCACTGGTTCGGTCCAGAGCTGAGGCCCAAACACAAGGCAAAGATGAGATGCTCCAAGACACTGATGAGGGCAGGGGGCGTGCAGTGACCTGTGTACCCACATGCACATCACCCACCTTTCCCTTTACAGTGGGCACCCCATCTGGTCGTTCACTATGCCTGGGGATCTCCACTTTACAGATAGAGAAACTGAGGCCCATAGATAATAGGACTTGTTCAAATACATACACACAGAATCGGAACTTAGATGTTTCCAATTTCCAGATTTAGACAATCAGACCCGAATCAGAGCCAAGTTGGTAGGAAGCGGGCGGGGGCTGTCCACACATGACTTCACCTAACATAAATCCCCTCAGGGTCCAGCTGGGGCCCATGTGTCCCACTGTCTGTCTGCCTCTCCAAGCTCTCCTTTCCTCTTTCCCTCCAGGCCCTTAAGGAGAACTGGATCATAACAACAGGATGAAGAGCAAGGTTCTTAGAGTCAGACAAAGAGACTCGAATCCTCTTCCCACCACTTAGAAGCTATAACGTCTCCGGGCCTCCGTTTCCTTATCTGTGGAGTCGGCACAAGACCCAGTTGGACTGAGTGAGAGAACACTGGTGAGCTGGCACACAGTACGTGCTCAGTGTTCAGGGGGTGGGATTGTTGTCAGAGAAGCAGCCTGCCCCTGTGCACCTACACACAGTAGGTCTGTGGGAGCCCACAACGAGCCCCAAACTTGGACAGCAGCCTGTTCTCCAGGTCGATGACCGTCTCCCCGATCTTTTCGTCCTTGGAGAGGAGGTCGTAGTCATAGAGAGTGATCTTCAGGTCCTTCTCCAGAGGCAGGGTGCAGGTCAGCTCGAACATCCTGCAGGGGTGGGCGCAGATGTCAGGCAACGCCCGCCCCTTCATGTCACCGGCACCGTGCTATCCCCGCCTCTTCCTCCCCTCCCAGGAGTGGCCCTGCAGTCCTCCCTCCTTGGGTCTCCAGTAGCTTTTAACACACACCACCCACAGCACTCTACTGGTACTGGGCCGTGTGTGTGTGTGTGTGTGTGTGTGTGTGTGTGTGTGTGTGTGTGGTTTTCCCAAATAACCTGGGCTGGGCACACAGCACCCATCTCATAGACCACAGAACGAATGAATAGTTGAAACAGGACATTAAAACTGAAGTTCCCTGCAGGACACCAGGAGGCCAGAGAGGCGAAATGCCAGAGCAAGGTGCCAGAGCTCTGAAGTTCACCCAGGGGATGGCCTGGGACCCGCTTTCAGGACTCTTGGGGCTTCACACCTGCTTCCGGAGTAGGATGGAGAGAGGATTTGTGAAGAAATTTTTGGAGAGAGCTCCTGCTATGCTGAGACCCCCACCCCACATGGGGATCAAATGTGGAGGTGTTGGCCCTTCTCCCCAGTGAGTTCTCTGAGGAGGGAGCCAGCCTGGCACCGACGCACACTCGCACACTCGAGGAAGAGAAAGAGCTTGTGGCCGCGAGGAGAGAGGGGCTCCACTTGGGAGGAGCCACATTGCTCCCATCTTGGCTGGACCACCACAAGGCCAGACTGGAGCCAGTTCGAATCTTGCCCCTCGGGAGTTGGGGCTCCAGCAGTGAGACTGTGGAGAGGCCCACTGAGAACCAGGGAACGGAGGCCCCCAGCTGAAGGGACACAGTATCTGCCACATCCCAGGAGCTGCAGTGGGGGGACCCGGGCTCTCTGGAAAGCACCCACCAGAAAATAAATCAGCTTTAAACATCAGACACCCAGAGGGCACCAGGAAGCCAGGACAGGGAGAGGGGCCCTCTGCTCTGACACTTCCCCTAGTCCTGGCCCTGAAGGAATCTGGAACCCCAGTGCTAGCCAGAGGGGGAGGAAGAGACACCCGGCAGAGAGGCAAGCCACACACATCCACATGCTGTGCACAGCTGTACCCAAGGTAGACCAGCCGGGAGAGGGGCACCACTTCCCTCCAGCCATCCAGGGTGTTCATAATTACACATGAATGGGCACTCTGGTTACCAACTTGAGACCGTGGGCTTATGACAAAGCGCATTGTCTAAACATGAGCAGAAAGTTGCCTGGTTGCCTGCCTGCCACAGTTTCCACTCAGGGAATGAGGAAGGCAACCCACAGAATAAATGTTTACAGGACACCAGCAGACAAAAACAAATGTGCTTTGATTATATCTCTTGAGTCGTGCTTGTTCAACACATGGGTTATAGAGAGAAAGACTTTCTGCTGTGACCGGATGGAGGCTTGAAACCCCAGGCAGACCAGCCTGGCCATGCAGTGGGGAAGGTGGGGGAACAAAGTGGGAGGGGTGTGTTTCTACACTCACTCCCCCACCTGGGCCTGGTCCCAACCACCTCACCCCCACATGGTAAACAGGCCTGATCTGCCGATCGGCCGCCCATGAGCCTGTGCCCCCATGCTGGCCACTGGAGCTCACCAAGTAGAGCTCCCGCCCCCATCTTCTCTGCAGCCCTTCCTCCAATCCCAGCTGGGGATGGCTCATCACTGCCAAAGACTGTTTCACCTTCAAAAATGGCACTTCCCCAGGCTCATCGGGCCCCTGCTGTTGGGCTGAGTGACTACAGCTAACTTGGTAGCTACCAGTTTGTAAATCCCATGTGTCACTTAACAATATCAGAACACCCCGCCATCTCCTACAAGGGCTAGAGAAATAGCTGCCGACCGCCCTCTGTGATTCTCCTTTCTTTAGCCTAAATAAGCTCACATCCAAAGAGCAAGCACATCAGGATGTCTGGGAGCTGCGCCCGTGCAACGGGACTGATCTTTCCTTTCCTTAGGTTTCAAGAAGCACCTTAGTCTCTTGAGTTCACATCCTTCCTCTATCTCAGCGGTTCTCAACCTGTGGGTTGCGACCCCTTTGGCGGTCGAAGGACCCTTTCACAGGGGTCGCCTAAGACCATCCTGCATATCAGATATTTACATTACGATTCATAACAGTAGCAACATTACAGTTATGAAGTAGCAACAAAAATAACTTTATGGTTGGGTCACAACATGAGGAACTGTATTTAAAGGGCCAGAAGGTTGAGAACCACTGCTCTATCTAATCACTACAGACAAAGGTGCAGCCAAGAGGGTAATCACTAAACTTAATGAGGGATCCTGGATTAGACCCTGGAACGGGCAAAGGACTTTAGGGAGAAAACTGCCAAAATCCTAATAAAGCCTAGAGTTTAGTAAGTAGTAATGCACCAATATCATTAACTAGTTTTGACAAATATACCATGGTTTGGTAAGATGTCAACAGTGGGGGAAATTGAGTGAAGGGTATACAGAAATTGTACTATCTTTGTAACTTTTCTATAAATCTAAAATTATTCCAGTAGAAAAGTTAATCTTAAAAAAAAGAGACTAACTAGCAAATGCATGCTTTGGGTTCCTATTTAGATTTCTGATCTTTGAGGTAATTGTTTACGGCTTCAACTAGGAGTTTTTGCCAGGACTCAAGCCTTTAGCGCACAATGAGGAAACAATGAGGAAATAACTGAGGTTACCCCCCGCCCCAGACAGCCAAGACTTAGGGAATACAGCTCTGCTCCAGGAATCGGGACTTCCCAGAGGCAGCCACGTCTCTGCCAAGCGGCTGTGGGTTATCCAGACTGGCACCTCCACCCCAAGACCCAGGCTGCCCCCAACTTACTTTCCAAACACAGGCTCCAGCGTACAGGGGATGTAGTTATCCTGGTCACTCACCGATTTCTTCCCTATGGAAATCTTGACGTAAGGGTCACACTGAAGGAGGAGACAGAAAGATTTTAGTGAAATCACTTCCCCAGCGTATCTCTGAGGCCTCTTCAGTCCTCTGCCTCCCGATGGGACTAGGTGGCCAGCCATCAAGGAGCTGTCATCCTGTCATCCTGCCAGGCCAGGGACCTGCACGCCATAGCACTTGGCCCTGAGGTGGGCTTCTAGCCACAGTCCAGCAGTGGACATGGGGTACCTGAGCCCTCCATACCCCCAACCCACTTCCCCACTGGCAGAAGGTGGGTGGGGGCCAGGCTGATATCCTCATAAGCATACCAGTTTGTATGACATATGTGATTGGGCCAAGCTGGGGTCCTCTCTGTGACCTCTGCTTCAGCAGATGGAAAAGGAGAGAGATGGACAGACTTTGTCAGCCAAACCCAGCCCGAGGCCTTCCCTGAAAGCTTCCTATGAGCAACAGCATCCCCTCCACTAGCTGCCAGGAGCCAGGGCCGGAGAGTGCTCACAGTCATTCTTGGCATCAAGAAGTCCTGAAGTGCATGAGCTGATCATTGGTCACTAGCACTTCTTGGAGGCCCCTGGTAGTGCCTGTTCCGGGGATGGTTCCATTCTGCTGTGTGACCTCCCAGAAGGACAGGGGCAGCCACGACTTCTCACCTTGAAAACCTGGGCTCCAAGGGTAGGACACTAGGCCTTCACCCACAACTTCAAGGACACATGCTAGGCCTACACCCATCTAAGGGGTCAGGAGCGGACCCTAGCCTCATACATCAAACTCCAATCACCCCCACGCCTGCCTCTTCTCTTCCCTCTTTCTCTCTCTTTCCAACTTAACTCTGCCTCTCCCCCACCAGCTCCCCACAACTCCAGACTCCTGCCCTCCTTCAAGTTCCCCTCTTTCATTCAGGGCCAGGACTAGAGAGAGGTGATGAGGTGCTTGCCTCAGGCATAAAATTGAAGGGAGGGCCAAAAAAGCTCAGTCATCAAGATAAGCAATATTTTAATGAAATATTTAAAAAATTAAAATCAATGCCAACAGTCCATGGTCAACAAAATATCAAAAGTTTAAATAAATACAGGATCAGTATTACTGATTTTTCTTTTAGCCCCAGGGCCCATCATGGCAGAGCAGAACTGCTGATCCTGCACCACTTATCTCTCCCCCACCATCGAAAGTCCTACAAGACAAGTCCCAGCCTACACCTTCAAGGCTGCCTATCCTTATGCCTTATCCTTGTGCTAAATGTACTCTAAGAAGTCTTCTGGAGAACTTCTGCAGAGGTTTTTGATGCCTCCTAAAATACTATTTTCTCCTCCCTCCCAGCCTAGCAAAACTCCATCAATCCTTAAGAATCCTATTCTTTCGGAAGCCTTCCTCATTATTCCAATGTCTTGTATTGACTTAGGCCTTTTCTGAACTCCTAGAGCACTTGGCCCTTGATAGAACTCCATCCAGCCACATCTCAGTTTTGTATATTTGTCTGGTTTCCCTGGATTGCTGTGAACTTCCCAAGGCAGAGGTGTATCCAGATTCTGTAGCCCTTTGTACCTCTGAGTGCAGGTGAGAGCTCTACAAATGTTACCTTCCCATTGGGGTCCTTGGGCTGCAGGCCAAATGCTTGGATAATATAGATGCGGACCAGGCACTCCTGGGGCCCCTGGGCAGCCAGCTGGTGGAACTGTCTTGGGGGTATGGGGATGGATGGGTCTTCTGGGAGGGGATAAATTTTGAAAAGGCCCTAAAAAGAAGGAGGAGTCAGCTTTTATTTTTATCATCATTGTCACCAACACAATCCCCACTATGATCATGGCTTTCATCTCTTCCAGAGTCATCACCACTGAGATCAACCAAGCCCAATGCCATCCCATCACCACCATCAGATTCTGCATCAGCAGCATCACCATCACTGTCACCACCTCCCTCATCCACATGGTCACCAACATCAGTACCACAGTCATATGGATATTACTACAGTACTGCCCCCTTCACTGACTGCTGCCCCTCCAGTCTAAGGCCTCCCTGGGCTACAAACATGTCCTCAAGGCCTTACCTTAAATTCCCCAATGACAGATGGGTCCTCCATTTCCTCCTGAGTCTTGCCCCGGTAGAGCTTGAAGGTGTTACAAAAGTCAGACAGGCCCTCAAAGGCCTCCACATTCTCCAGTTGTGTGTCATAGACCTGCCACATGCGGGACAAGAGAACGGGACAGGAAAAGAGAAAAAGAAGAGGGATAGCAAAGGCAGAGGAAACATGGCAGTGTTCGAGTGAAGGAAAGGAGAGAAGAGAGAAGAAAATGAGAGGGAAAGACCACAAGCAAATTAGAGGAACATAGGCAAAGAGGAGAGCAGGTGGGAGAGGTGGAGATAATAGATGGGGCCAAGGAGAAAGAAAGGCAGGAGAGGGAAAGAACAAAGGGAGAGATAACAAAGATGCAAATAGTGGAGATTAAAGAGCGGGGGAGAGAATAAGAGGAAGACATTTCTTTAGTGCCACTGGGAAACAGGGTTTTCTGGTTAAAGCAGTATTCTAGGTATCTGAGAGTCATCTCATACACAGGTGGTGCATTTTTTCAAGAGAATAAGATTATAGTCAAACAAATGCATGAAAAGCTAACTGACATTTTGTTTGAAGATCAAGACAGAACTCCGGAAAAGTCACAGGTCAGCAAGTCAAGCCACAGTGCTCATTGTCCTGATGTCCAAATGGCAATGGGATCAAACACCGGGCCGAGTGGGCCTTTTCAGCACCACTTTAAATTTGCGAACTCGATTTCTTTATTTCATGCCTCCCAAACAGCCAATGACTTTTATTTGTTAGGACAGTATTTTGGAATTGCTTAGATTTAAACAAAGCAGTGGCTTTCTGTTTTAAAAAATAAAATATACCTAATAAATAGTGCTATTCAACAACCTAGCAGACATGCTAAGTTGGTTATATCTGAAACTGACAAGATACTTCAGGAAAGTTCCTTTCTCATAATGTTAAATATTATTTCTCATTGAGGCCTAGCTCAAGTTCTAGCTCTTCCAAGAAAGCATTAATTATGCAAGTGATATAAGTTCATTATTAAAAAATATAAAATACAAGTAAATATAAAGAAAATATTATTATTGCCTTATATTCTGATTCCCAAAATATAACAACTCATTGCTTGGTTAACATTTGATATGCATTTTGAATTTTTTCTTGCTCCATTTACACAGTTGATTCATTTCAAGGGACTAGTCTTTTGATTTGTCAATCCTACCATTTTCTCTATTCTAGTTCCTTATTTCTGATTTTATTATTTCTTCTTTCTATTGTTTTAAGGTTTTTTTAAAAATTCTAACTTCTTCACTTGAAGCTTTGTTTACTTTGCTCCCTCTATTCTGATAAGAAAAATACTTACTGCTCTGAAATCGTCTCTGCTTCCTACTGCCTTGGACTGCCCCATTTGTTTTTGCTGTATAATGTTTTCATTTTCTTGGCATTCCGTAATCATAGTTTTACTTTATTATTTGATCCAAGAGCCAGATGCTTCATGAGTTTTCATTCTTTCTTTTTAGTTTACATAAGCTTTTAAGGTTACAAACTTCCTCTGAACACTGCTTTAGCTATAACCAGTAAATGCTAATGCGAAGCATTTTATCATTTCCCAGATATTCTGCAATTTTGGTTTGTATTTTCTTTTTCACCAAGAATTGCTAAAAAAAAAAAAAAGGGGGCCTTAAAATATTTTTTCTAGACGGAAGTGCCTTTGGGGGCTTTTGATCTTGTTAGTAAGTTCTAATTTTATAGTATGATCAAAAACCATTATCAGTGGCATTGGCACTTTTTGAGATTTATTAAGGTTTTCTTCGTGGCCTATTACATGGTCCATTTTTACAACTGTGCAGTCTCTATTTTCAGGCTGCAGGGTTTAATCAAGTTAATAATTATGCTGGTTTTCTATATCCTCTCACATTTTTGTCCCTTTGACCTGACATGAACTGAGAGAATAGAATTAAATCTCCCCCTACCTACCAGAGTGTTCCATTTCTTCTTGTATCTTCACAACAGGAATTGTGTAAATATTGATATATTATTTAGCACATAGATACTCTCAAAGCTATCACCTCTTGGAATTAACCCATTTAATGTTATTAGCTGCCATTCTTTGCCTCACTTACTTTGGGGAGTTGAATGCACTTTCATCTAATGTGAAGACTGAAGATTGTGACTTCTGCTTTCTTTTTGTCTACATTTTCCAGGCACACATTTTCCCCATTTTTTTTTATTTTCAGCCTTTATGGATGTTTTTATTTTAGAGTTAGGTTTTGTTCTGAGATCTGATTTCAATTTTGTTATTAATAAGTGATTGAAATGGCATGTAAGTTTAGTCTGCTTTTATACTTATATTTATACTAGAGGCCCGGTGCACAAAAATTTGTGCACTCGGGGGGGAAGGGGGGGTGCCTCAGCCCGGCCTGTGCCCTCTCGCAGTCTGGAACCCCTCGGGAGATAACGACCTGCTGGCTTAGGCCTGCTCCCAGGTGGCAGAGGGCAGGCCCAATCCCTAGGTGCAGCCCCTGGTCGGGCTCAGAGCAGGGCTGATTGGGAGGTTGCGATGCCACCATCAGTCACGCTCAGGGTAGGGCTGATTGGGGGGTTGGGGCACCGCCCCCTGTCACACTCAAGGCAGGGTCGATAGGGAGGTTGCGGCGCCACCCCCTGTGATGCACAGAGCAGGGCCAATCAGGGGGTTGGGGCGCTGCCCCCTGTCACTCACAGAGCAGGGCCAATCAGGGGGTTGGGGCACGCCCCCCCCCAGTCACGCACAGAGGCAGGGCCCATCAGGGGGTTGGGGAGCTCCTCCCTGTCACACACAGAGCAGGGCGATCAGGGGGTTGGGACGCCACACCCTGTCACACACAGAGCGCAGGGCGATCAGGGGGTTTGGGCGCTGCACCCTGTCATGCTGATCTGGTGCCAGGAGGCCTCGCGGCTCCGCTGATCCCGGTGCTGGGAGGCATATTACCCTTTTACTATATAGGATAGAGGCCTGGGGGCCGGCTGGTTTGCCCTGAAGGGTGTCCTGGATCAGGGTGGGGGTCCCCACTGGGGTGCCTGGCCAGCCTGGATGAGGGGCTGAGGGCTGTTTGCAGCTGGTCACACACCCTTCAGGGTGGGGGTCCCCACTGGGGTGCCTGGCCAGTCTGGGTGAGGGGCTGAGGGCTGCTTCAGGCTGGCGGTTTTGACTGCTTTCAGGCTGGTGGGAAGCTCACAACCACTCCTTTTTTTCTTTTTTTCTTTTCTTCTGGGCCAGCTTTAGCTCTGGCTCTAGCTCTGAGGCTTCCGCTGCTGGTTTGTTTGCAGTTCTATAATCGAAACAATGTATAACTTCAGCTCTGAGATCCCAGCCGGCTATATTTGTTAGAATGTTTCAAACTGCCAGCTCAGAGCCCGGCAAGTCAGGCGGGAACGTTGGAGTCAGCAGTCACTGGAGCAAGGAAGCCTCATGTTCGCTTCCAGCTGCATGGCTGCCGGCCGCCATCTTGGCTGACAGTTAATTTGCATAAGGATACGCTGATTAGCCAATCAGAAGGGTAGCGGTCGTACGCCAATTACCATTTTTCTCTTTTATTAGTGTAGATAGTTATATATTTATAGTTTCCTAGATTCATCGGTTATTTTTTAATCCTCACCCAAGGATATTTTTCCATTGATTTTTAGAGAGAGTGGAAGAGAAAGGGAAAAACAGAGAGAAATATTGATGTGAGAGAAGCACATTGATTGGTTGCCTTCTGAATGCACCCCAACCAGGGCAGGGGCCAGGGAGGAGTCTGCAATTGAGGTATATGCCCTTGACCAAAATTGAATCCTGGACCCTTCAGTCCTCAGGCTGATGCTCTATCCACTGAGCCAAACCAGCTAGGGCAGATCCTTTACAGCAGAACGACCAGAATGACCGGTCACTATAATGCGCACTGACCACCAGGGGGCAGACGCGCAACGCAGGAGCTGCCCCCTGGTGGTCAGTGCGCTCCCACAGGGAGAGTGCCACTCAGCCAGAAGCCAGGCTCATGGCTGGTGGAGCCTCTCCCGCCTCCGCAGCAGCACTAAGGAAGGAGCAGAGAGCCCAGCGGTAGGAGCAGCAAGCAGGCAGGCTGTAAGGAGTGAGGGGTCCCAGACTGCAAGAGGGATGTCTCACTGCTGGCTTAGACCCGATCCCCATGGAGAGTGGGCCTAAGTCGCAGGCGTACATCCCCCGAGGGCTCCTGTACTACGAGAGGGCACAGGCTGGGCTGAGGGACACTCCCCGGCCCCCTGCAGTGCACAAATTTCATGCACCAGGCCTCTAGCATTATTATAAATTTATATATAGTAACAATGCTCTACTTCATCTTTGTCTTTAGAGACAATATTTATAAATCACCTACTATAGCAATGATAAATTAATCAAATGGCATCTCCTGTCCTCTCCATCACCCAATATTAGACAATATTATCTTCCTTAATATTTACTCCTGTACTGTTTGTTTATAATTTGCCAATTTTAAATAATATCTGTCAACACTACTTGTTCTATAATATGGCAATCATTGTCTTACTTTGTATCGCATCACCTTTTTTTCTTCTCCATCTAATTTTTGTCAGTTTTATCATTTCTACATTTTCAGTATATATATTAATATTCCAGCCTATTACCCTAACCCTTCCATTTATTTTGATTTTAGGTCTAAGGTAAAACGTGATCACAACTAGTCCTCTTGTTGTGGTTTTCCCAGTTATCTCCTAGTTGGTTGAAGTTCAGTCCCCAGAAGCTCCTCAGGATGGGCTCATGGGAGTCACATTACTTGTTCCTGAATATGCATGCCTGGGTGCTCATAGCCTCTGTGCTTGAAAGGCAACGTGGCTGCATACAAATCCTCAGTCACCCTTTCTCTCCTCGATGATCAGTGGATGGTGCTTTATTATCCTTGGGTATTAAATGTTGTGGAGAAATTAAAGCCACCTTGATTTATTTCTTATTTTAAATGACAATATTTTTGAAAGGAAATGTGCATGACTACACCAAAACATTCTTTATCTCTAAAGTCCAATAACATATACTAAGATTTGTCTCAGGATTTATCAATCTGGGTCAATTTTTCCTGACACAAAGTGGACTTTCTAATATGTATATTCAAGTATTCTTTTATCTCAAATTTTATTAAAATGTCAAGTGTTTCATTGTTTTGTTTGTCTTCCTCTGAAGCTCCAATTATGCAAATGTTGGATCTCCTTTCCCTGCGTCTATATGTCATTTTTTCTTTTTTTTTATAACTCTTTCTTTATTTCCATTTCCTTGTGCTTACTTTCACCATTTCTGTCCTCTATGCCCCTTACCGTGTTTTCCAAAGTGGACATTCTGCCTTGGGCTCCTTCATGTTTCCTTCTCTTCCTTTCCTGAATCTTATCAGCTCATATTTCATCTCTTCTCATCTCAATCCCTTGAGTTTTTTTCATTTCTGCTTTGTATTCTGACTGCCCATTTCTAAGAAGTGTATAGCAAAATATGTCACCTTGTCTGCTCCTTGGCAAACATTTTTTGGCGGGTACATATCTTCTTCTTTTGGTTAAGTTATGATTTAAATTTTCTCTTCCTTTTTTCATAGCATTTTAAAATTAATGCTGTGTTATTTCTTTTATTATTACTTGTCACTAAATGTGTTGGATTTTCCTAGATGAATTATTTCTTTTGTTTCACCACAGATGCAGACAGCTTCTGCAAATACAGCCCATCTGTGTGATTCTTGTGTAGCTCTACCTTCTCACCTTCTGTGAACCAAGCAGGCTCTATAAGGCTTTTGTAACCAGCCTGAGCCTGTCTTCCAAGTTCCCATATCCATTGTGGTGAACAAGGGATATAACTTTTATATTTTATGGTTAAACCTCAATTTCAGGAACTATATTTTTTAACTATTTGTTATGAAAATTTCAAGCACACACAACAGTAAAGAGAAGAGATAATAAGCCCCCATGTACTTATAACCTGTTTCAAATAGTTATCAGCATTCTTTTATTAGGAAGTCAGGGTTTCCTGAGATCTGCTACCACTATGACCTTTCATCATTTCCATGCACCTTCTCTTAATTTACTGCCGAGTGGCTTCTACCCAATCTCAGTTGCCTTTGGACAACCCTTACATGTATTTTGGAGTCTGCAAATTTTATTTGTTTCCAACTTTTACTGAAAATGGAGTTTGTGGGTTTGAATGATTTCCAGAAGAAAGGGGGAAAAATGCTGACGCATGCAGCCATGTTCATACTGGAAGTTCCAATAAAATACTTTTTAAATTTCCAAGTGGTTGGTCTTTTTGTTTAAACTTTTGTTATTTATTTCTCATCTTATTACATTTTAATCTGTCTTGTATGATTTCTGCTTTTGGTAACATATTACTAAACTAATATATGATCAAATTTTGTAAGTGTTCTCTGAGCATTAGGAAAAAAATGTATTCTTTATTTTTTAATTATTTTTATTCTCTATTATAAAGCTACTTTTAATGTAGCTTAAAAACATTTACTTTGTTATTCATATATTTTATTTCCTGCTTCATCTGTCTAGGAGAGAGGTACATTAAAATCCCCACTGCAATTTTAATTTAGTTTATATATTCCTATCATTTTTGCTTTAAGTATTTCTAAGATTTATTGTTCTATGCAAACATATTTGGGAATTTCTTTCATTCAGATGTACATGTTTTACTTCTATAAAATACTCCATTTTGTTTCCTTTGCTTTTCACTTTAAATTCTATCCCTTTCTCTTTTGTTTGCACTGATCTTATTTTGTTTGCCAAAATATTTACTTTTCACCATTCTAAGTTTTACTGCTTTAGACATGTCTTTGAACGATAGTACATGTCTGTGACTTCTGGTATATTCTAAGAATTCTTATCACTTACTAGATATGTTTAATTTATTTTTATGTATTAGGAAAATGAATATATTTTATTCTTTTTCTATTGTGTTTTCCTATGATGACTGGGATTTTTTTTATGCTTTCTTGCTGTATCTTTTGTTCTCTATCTTTTGCTATTGAGACGATGAGTTGTTGTTTTTCCCCCCATGCTAATGATTACCAAAATATATTTTTCTTTTTGCCCACTGTGTATCCATTCTCTCCATATTGCTGCAGGCTATTTTTCAGTCTCATGTTGGTGGTGGTGGTTTTCTTCTATTTACTTATCCTTAAAGGACCAGTGTTCTTTCACATCTGTTTTTCCCTCCAGTAACATGTTGAGTGCATACTTTCAGAAAGCCCATTTTCTCTTGGATACTGTCAGAGATCTCAGAGAGGTCAAGCTGGAGGCCTGGTGCCAATTCAGCATCCGGCATCTGAGGGAGCAGCAAGGGGGGCGGGCAACATAATGGGCCACCCTGGCAGGAGTTCTCATTCTTACTTGGTTTTTCTCATTTCTTGACAAGGCTACAGTAAAAACATGCCAGACCTAAAGTGTCGAACCTTTTTTCCTGGTACACAAATAGTTCTGTCTCTTTGCCCAACCTCACATGCCCAACTACCAAGTCAATGAAGAGCTTGCTGCCTGAGGCCTCATCTCTGTGCATCCAGGTCTCCAGACACAATTCGCCCATAAGCCTCCAATGTATCAGACAATTCTTGACACCTTGTGAAATCGCCCTCCAGAGTACACACCAAAGGCTTCCAGCCAGCAGAGTTGCCTGGATGCCCCAGCCACTCACCCTGCCAACTAGCCTCAAGTCCCAGTCATCAAGACCCTTTAGGGTGCTCCATGGGCCTCTCCCATGTGTCAGACAGCCTTTGCAGTACAGTAGGGCCTTGACTTACGAGTGTCCCGAATAACGAGTTTTTTAAGATACCAGCTGTCTCTCGGCCGATTTTTTGCATTGAGTTGATAGAGTAATTTGAGTTAACGAGCTCCTTAACGAGCTCGGTCTCGGAACGAATTAAATTCGTAAGTCAAGGCCCCACTGTACTTCTATAAATATGGCGACCAGATATAGCAAGTGGAAATATAGGACACCCAGTTAAATTTGTATTTCAAATAAATAAAAAATAATTGCTAGATAAGTATGTCTCATGAAACATTTGAAGCACGCTTACCTGCAATTCTGTATCTGGCAACCCTCTCCAGGACACTACACAACTCCTTTGGGAAGTGATTCTGAATCACCTCTGGTTATCTTTTTCAAAAGTAGCCTATTTTTTTAAAGTGTAATTGTATTTGTGGAATTTCCTCAAAATACCAGAATTTCTCTGACTCATCCTTGGCTTTTTGTTTGTTTGTTTGGGTGGGTGGGCTTCTTTTCTTCTTTCCACAGAAAGAGAGTTTACCTTATTTTTATATTTACTGGGTAATTTCTGTCCCAATTGTAGGTGTAGGGTAATCACAGCAACATTCTTAAGCTGACTTTCTTTTTTCCTTTGACACAAAATTTTATGATAGAAAAATTCAAATGTCTTCAATAGATACAGAATAGTATAACAAATCCCTAAGTACCTATCTCTAAGCTTTAACAATTTTCAACATTTTGCAATCTCAATAATTTTTAATATTTTGAAAGTCTATCAGAGGGCCACCCATACCATCCATCTTCCCCCTTACTATTATTTTTTTGAGCATCTTAAAACAAATCTCAAACATCGTTTCACCCATAAATACTTCAGTACTTTCTAGCATTCGTCCAAAAACACTTCCTGGGTCATCCCAGCCCACAGTGACTTCTTGCTCTAAATCTCTGGTGACCTTTCTTACCTCAATTAGTTCATCCAGATTCTTCAGCCTTCTGGTACCAAACGAGGAGACAAACATAAATATACATATATTCTCTTTCTGTTGTGTCTCCCGTGCCCATCACATGTGCCCAGGGCTAACGGACAGAAGAGAACATTAGAGAGGCCTCACCTTTAGAGTGTCAAAGTCCTTCTCCAAGTAGGAGCCACACTTTTCCCTCTCCCCGATCGAGGCATAGAATTTGCTCCACCAATCGATGAACTCCTCCTCCTGCGCAGGTAGAAAGACACCCATCATTTCAGAAACAGAACTTGCCAAGCAAGGTCCTACTGGATTGAACAGCTGGCAAGGCCTACAGGTTGGCCTGGACTTCAAAGCACCCCTGTTGGGGTGAGTTTAGGGGAGCAGAGAGCTGGAACTTCCTGACCCTCCAGGGGGGCCAAGACTGCACAGACTGAAAAAAAAAAGGGTTTGAATACCTGCTTGGTGCATGAAGAGGCAGAAGCTCTAGCCTGGGCCCTGTCCCCTATTCACTGTGTGGGATCTGTTTCGCTCTCAGGTCTCCCTTTTCCTTCTGGGAAGTGGGCATAAATCACCTGAGGCTAAAATGTGACGGTACATAGGGTAACTCTTTGGGGGAAATGTCAATAATGTCTTATTTATAAATATAATGCAGTAGACCCAGGGTAACTCAGACCCCCAAAGAGCTATCCTGCACCCGCCCCCGCCCCAGCAAAAAAAAAGAAAGCAACAAATACCAGAACTCAGCCCCCAAGATCAAGTCAAGGTCAAATCCTTGAAAATCAACAAATACTAAGTGTCCTTTGTTCAAAAAACATTATGCTACCTGAGAGAAATTAGGTGAGAAGAAAGGGAGGCTGTGACAACCCACTCTCCGCCTGTCCTTCCTCCATGTACTCACACTTGTAGGGAAAGGGAGACAAGCCTGTTATGTATGGTACACACAGGTCTCTCCACTTTTAACTCCTCCTGCACATGCTGTGCCTACACGACCTTTTAGCTCTTGTAGGTGGGATGGTCACTCTTCCCCAGGCCTCCGCACAAAATCCCCAGGGGCCGGGCACCTGGTCTGTGCCTGTGACTGCCATTAGAGCTCACCGGTTCAGTGGGAAGGCCAAGGACAAGGTGTAAGGATAGGCCATCTGGGACTCACTTTCCTCCTCCTTATGAGGGGGTGAGTCAGGAGATCTCCCAGGACCCCCCTCTGATTCTATAAAACAAACTGAATGTCTACCATCGAGTGTCCGGAAAGGTTATGGGCTCCCTTTAAACCAATGCTCAGTCCTGTGAGTTCTGGCATATTAAGGGTGAGCACAAGCTGAAGAAAGGCTGCAGGAACCTGAACGGGCACCATGGGGAAAGGGTGGAATGAGGTTCTCAGCATCTCACCCATCCTCAACGTATGGCCCTAACACCCTCTGTGTGGCCAGAATGCAGTTCCCAGACACACGGCACAGAGAGCGGGTGTCGGAGCGAGGATGGGTCTGCAGAGAGCCGCTATTTGAACAACTTACCAGGAGGACCTTCTGTAGCCAGAAGAGAGGAAAAGAGGGTCAGATGTGTTAAGACATAAGGTAGCAGAGCTTTCTCACTTGTAACCACTCTTGAAAAAGCTGGCATAGGGCAAGACAGACCTTAGCCCTGATGTTTTAAGTTCAATTTAAAGAAAAAGATACTATGGATATATAAACATATACAGACATACATGTCAAACTCAAACATCACCAACACATGGAAGACTATATTTAAATAGACATGCCCAAGGGATATATATGCCAAAATACACATATAAAAACCCCCCAAATACACACATGTACACATATGTAGAAATGGGTAGAATGGAATTTCATTTAGCTTTTTGATTCCTCCTCAGTATTTATTTTCTTCTCCAGCCCAGATACTTAAAGATTTGGATGGATGACTCAGGCTCAGAGTCAGGCATAAATAGGCAACAACCAGTGTGTTTTGTATGAAGAAATGACATTAACACAACAGTTACAGAAAAGTTATTGTACTTCCCTCAGTCTTGAAAAATAATCAAGTAAATTTTTAAAAAGAATATGGAGATGGAGAATATGAATGATACCATTAACAGTATCAATTAAATAGACAAAAATTATGTAATCTAAACACAGAAAATATACCTTCTTGTCCAGCATCATTGGAGCACTTAGAAAAATTAAAAGCCACAAAGCAAATTTCAATAAAGTCCAAACATGAACCATTATCAATCACACTCTCTAACCATAATGCAATAAAACTGGAAACTAATGAGAAATTTAAAAATAAAAATCCCAAACTTTTATAAACTTAAAGGCATACTCTTAAAACCCTTCTAAGTCAAAGAGAAAACCACAACTAAAATCAGATACATAGAAAATATCAACAGTGAGAGGACTATGTTCCCAAATTTGTGAGTGGTAGCCAAGTATGAACTCGAAGGAAAATTCAGTCTTAAATGTTTTCGCTTTTATACAGAAGGAATGAAAATAAATTATCTGATAACTCACAAAATTAGAAAGAGAAAACTGGGAAGACCAAAAATTGAAAGTGACAAGTAGAAATTAATATAGTAGAAAGAAAAGGGATATTACAATTAATAATTAAACCCCAGAGAAAAATTTTAAGAGATCAATAAAATAAGCATTTATTAAGTCTAGTATTAAAAAATGGGTGTACCATTAGAAATCAGGAAGATAAAATAAAAAGATATTATGAGGAGAACAGAAACATTAAGAGATTTACCATACCCAAATCAATGAAAAAACCTTGGAAAATCTAGATGAAGTGGATGATTTTCTAGAAAAATATAAATTGCTAAAATGGATTCAAAAGTAATAGAAACCATGAAGAAATCAGTAGCCCTGAAGGTGAAAGAGATCTCAAAACACTACTTAAAAAACAAACAAACAAACAAAAAAACACCAAGCCAAGATGGTTTCTTTGGGGGTAAATCCTATCAGTCTTAATAAATCATTCTTTGTTCCATAGCATAGAAACAAGATGAAGTTTCCCCATTCATTTTTGGGAGAGAGAGAGAGAGAGAGAGAGAGAGAGAGAGAGAGAGAGAGAGAGAGAGAGATCCTATTCCTAAATGAAGATGTAAAGATCTTAAATAAAATAGTAACAAAGAGATTACTGCAGTAACTCTGACATGGTCAAGCTGAACTATTCCAGAATGTAGGAGTGCTTCAATATCACTGAGTAAGGAGAGAAAACCCACCTGATCATCTATAACAGAAATTTGGCAACTGTGGCCCACTGGCCGGACACCTGGTTTTATAATTCAAATATTACCTATGGCTTAAAATATTTACTATCTGTCCATTTAAGAAAAAGTTCGTCAACCCCTAATTCATAACATGCAAAAAAGAAGCAGGGGTGATAAAATGTTTCAGTTATTCCTAAATGAAACTCTCAGTGAATTAAGAATTAAAGGAAGCTTTTTTAGCATAAGAATATCTTAAAGCAGCGGTTCTCAACCTGTGGGTCGCGACCCCTTTGGGGGTCAAACGACCTTTTCACAGGGGTCGCCTAAGACCATCGGAAAACACATATATAATTACATATTGTTTTTGTGATTTATCACTATGCTTTAATTATGTTCAATTTGTAGCAATGAAATTGGGGGTCAACACAACATGAGGAACTGTATTAAAGGGTCTTGGCATTAGGAAGGTTGAGAACCACTGTTTAAAGGAATAGCCAGCATTGTGCTTAATAGCATCAGGCATTCTCCCTTTTGGGTTTATGGACATGAGGCTGCCTCTGCCAATAATTTTCACGTGCTATGGCTATACAGAGTCAGAGTAGTTGAGAGGTAGGACTTGGGAGCCAGACTAGCAGGGTTCAAATCCTGCCATTCCTTTCTGTGTGACCCTGCACAACTACTTAACTCCTCTCTGCCTCAGTTAGCTTACCTGTGAAATAGAAAAATAATAGCACAAATTTGATAAATTTGGATGATCCTTGGCTTTTAGGTTTCCAAGAGAAAATGCTTGTCCACACAAAAACTTGCTGTTCATAGCAGCACTATTAGAAATTGCCAAAAAGTAGAAATAGTCTATCAACTGATGAATGGATAAAGAAAATAATATATCCATACAATTTCATATTATTTGATAATAAAAAACAATGAAGTACAACATGGATGAACTGTGAAAACATTATGCTAAATAAAAGAAGTTAATCACAAAAGACCACATATTGTATGATTCCATTTATATGAAATGTCCAGAGTAGGCAAAGCTATTGAAACAAAAAGATTATTAGACATCCTGCCTTCCCTCTTATTACTGTGGGTGCTCTACTTGCACCCCAACCCAAGGCCAACTCTGCACTGATGTCCTGGGTTGCATGCTTTCTGGTCTCCTCGAGGACACTACTCCATCATGCTTCCTTCTCACTCTCTTCTGCATCATCAGACTTCTCTCTCTACCGGATCATTCCATCAGCATTCAATCATGTAACACTAGTTATCCATCATTTAAAAAAGAACAAAAATCTCTGGTACACTTTCTCTTTTGGCCCCCACCTTATTTCTTTCTTCCTTTTACAGAAAAACTTCTAGAAAGAATTGCCTACACTTGTCTCTAATTCTTGTTTTCCATTCTCTCTGCTCTACCAAAACATGTTTGTCAAGGTCACAATCGCTCAGGCCTCATAATCAATCTAGTAGCTGTATTTGATATAGGCAGTCACTCCCCTGTCCTTGGACTATCCATTCCCCACCCTTTGCCTTGGAGATCCCAGTGACCATCCCATCTCACTGGCCATGCCTTCAAAGTCTTTGCTAATTCCTCCTTGTCACCCACCCTCTGATCATCTGAGTGTCTTGGTGCTCCTCCCTGATCAGTCCTCCCATCCACTTTCACTCCCTTGGGGTTCTCCTCGGGTCTTACATCTTCAAATAACACATACATTGAGCTCTCTCCAGCCTGGATGGCTCCTCTGAACTCCAGCTGCCTGTTTCACATATATCCTACAGTAGGTATCCCACTGGACAGCCACTACATTCCTCAAATGTCCAGAATCCAATTTCGGATCATCCCCCACCCACCTGCTCCTTCCACAGTCCTCCTCTTGTAAATAGATGCCAACTTCTTCCTTCCAGATGTTTAAGCCAAAAACAAAGCAGTCACCTTGGACTCTTGTTCCTCGTGCTTCACATTCAATCCATCAGCAAATCCTACTGGTGTCATCTTCAGTACAGATTCAGAATCAGACCACTTGTCCTGTAGTTCCCCATC